CTGTAGTGGGTGTCGAGTCGAGGACGGACTATGATCACCACTACTATTCGATTACGCGCCCAAAAACGACTTGGTTCCTTTGATAACTCGTAAATCAGAAGGCTTTATTAATCCAGATCAAGTATATTTATTGGCGATCTCGTGGTATCGAAATAATACCGAGACGTGCCAAAGAGTACAGGCGAAATGGGCAGATCGTAAGAAAGTTCGAACCAAACAAGGCGGATAGCGAAACAAGAAGTGAGTCTGATACAGTTAAACAAATACAGTAAAACAGTCTCTGGTACAATTGGTTACGATAATAATAATTGTCCTCGACTCGACACCCACTACATCTGGTGAGTCGTATTTGGAAAACGCACTGCAGATCTTTAGAAAACTTAGGTCTCCAGTACTCTAAAGGTGCGATTTTGTTGATGATACTTTCGATGTTTTGATAAAATATGTTGGTTAGTGTGTTGGTATCTTTTGCAGTAAAGAATGTTCTCCAGTCAGTGCTTCTTAGGTAATTGAGAAAGTTATTCCAATCCATCTAGCGATAGTTTCTGCGAAGGGTTACATTTTAACGTCTACCGTTTGTGTTTTTTATATTAGGGCTACATATGACAGTTTTATGATCACTACCTGGAAACGTTTTTCTAATATACACAGTATTGGGGGTGAGGCCACTGGTAAAGACTAAGTCCAAGATATTTTGATGTCTGGTAGGGCTACTAACATATTGAGTCCACCATCCTAGTTCTAGACATTCAATAAATGATTCATAACGTTTCAGAGCTTTGACTGGAAACCAAGAAATTTCAGGCATGTTGAAGTCACCACAAATGAGCTTGCCTGTGAATGGAAGGGATGATGCTAGTGTGAATGCCTCTGATAATACTGCTATTTCACCTATTGCCAAGTTAGGTTGCTGGTAGATACAGCCGAACAGTAAGGTAATGGAATTTGATGGCTTTAAAAAAATCCACACCGAGTCCTTCAGTTTGTTTAGTTCAGGCATATCACATAGTAGTGAGTTTAAGCTAGATTGAGCATAAATAAGGCATCCTCCGCCTCGTCCTTTCAATCTATCGCTTCCATATAGGAGATAGTTATCAAGAGATATACTTAGATCGAAAATATTACTGTTAGTTCATGCTTCAGATATCATTATAAGTGATGGTTGATATATGGAAGCAAACAGAGCTAAATCAGTCTTTTTATTGCAGATCGACCTAGCGTTGATAAGACACATATTAAACAAGTGGCCTACTAAGTTAAAGTGAGTGAGAGTATCTCGATTAAAGATGTCATGACCCTCGTGTGAGTGATGTATGTTTGTAGTAATGGACTGAGTGTTTTTCAATAGCTCTGTATTTTGATAGCTAGAGTTACTGGGGCATGTATCAAATGAGCTAGTGTAGTTGCTTGGTGAGTTTATCCAGGAGGAAAGGGTGGGAGTACTTCTGATGCGAACTGTACGGGGGAAGCGAGTTTATGTTCCGCACTTGGTTTAAAATGACTAGGGCTATATGCTTCAACAGGGGTGCAACTAGGGGCCTTATTCTAAAAAAATCTGGTACATGTTGTCTGTAAAGTGTACTGTTATTTGCAAGACAGTTTTGATGGTTAAGCTCGTAGCCTCTGTTATAACTATTTGCGCTAGTGCGAGCATGAGGGGGGTCTGATGCTCGTAACTGGAAGTGGTTACGACTGTTGTTATATATGGAGGCCGACTTCATGTGGTGGGTTGATACTGGAAAGTTCTCATTCTGAGAGTGATTACAATTGTGATCCTGAGGAATGCACATAGGGTGTGGGGTGAGGAACCTGTAATTACCATGGTTATTAACGGTTTTAGGCTTAAGAGGGTGAGTGGAGTGATCAGTATTCTGATAGTTTTTGTGAGTGTGCGTGTAAAAAGGTTTGTTACGCTCAAGCATACTACCCATTGTGCGAGGTGTTGATGGCAAGTTACATGATATCAGCGGGTGGAACCTATTCACTGTTGTTGGGATACCCACAGAACAGTTGGCCTCAATCTTACGTGTTCCCCTATTTTGTATTTTGGATTTTATCTCCCCAGTCTTTTGTGTCAGAGATGAAGGGTCTCTTTGCCTCTGTGAGATGAATTTAGGTTCATTCGAATCCTCTTGGGGTACCAATTTTTACATGAATATGTTTAGTTGGGTGTGCTTCGTTATGACTTTGCACTCCTTCAAGTACAGAGTATACCTGGTGCAGGGCACTAAAGTCTTGTGCAGGGTTTTTAAAACACCTCAAATTTTGAAATCGCATTTCAGTTACCATCTTCTTATATGAGGCCATATTTGGAGTGTCATATAGTAGTCATGTCTTTGTTGAGTCAGTGAAAATACACCGGGTCTACAATCAATTGAATTCACTGATAACATTATCAAGTCCTGGGTTGTTCTTCCAATCATGTGTTTAAACTTTCATCTAGAACCTTTGTTGCTCGGTGGTGATAAGTAATGTCCTGTTTCATGATGCCAGATGATTGGCAACAAAGTATTTTTTTGTTGAACTCAAGGTTTTGGCATGGGGCGGTTCATCGTTGTTGCAACTTTTGCAATTTTCAGCTTTGAAAGATTTGCCCAATTTGTGGCGGTCTAACTGTTATGACTCGTAAGTTGAACGCTTTATTCGGATAACCCCAGGCTAGCACTACTCAGCGACCTGGAAGACCAGAGAGAAGACACGAGTATCAGAGAAGCACTTTACTACAAGGTTCAATTATGTACAGAAAAACAGGGGTTTTATAGTAGCTAAAAGACCTTGAGATCCCATAGTAACAGTATGTTAACAGCCAATCAGGACCTTGTTATTTTAGTAGCATTTTAGTAGCATAGCTTCTAACTAATCGCTGATTGGTTGGTCTTTTTATGAGCCTCTCTGGAGGCTCTGATAGAGTTTATTGTAAGCCGATCTAACATTAACAATGATTGTTTAGGTATTAAAAACGAACCTAATTCTCGGTTAAAAGCAATTAACTGCAACTATAAATTACAAATGTATGAGCTTCCAACAATGTGGCAATAAAACTATAAGTTGGCAGTGTAGAGTTTTGAAGGAGTCATATTTTGACTGTCTATTGAGAGTAGTCTGTTTGTCTTTTGAAACAATAGACGCTGCAGTTTCATTGCATCTGGTTGTGGATATTCTTGTTGACACTCAGGTACTTAACATCTGTATTTCACTGAAGTATGTCATCTCATGCCAGAAAAACATTTAATTGTTGAGACAATATTTGGATTTCCGCCTTTTCAGAACTGTATCTGAATTACTTAGCAATTCAAACCCATAACTATCTCTGAGAGCTGACTACTGAAGATTAAACGACTAAGAATAAACTAAGATCAGCACCGAGAAACATGCATACGCGGCAGGTTGATCATATTTTGCCCATCATCTTTCTTTTTGTTCTGTTAAATAGGTAGCGATTTTTTGACAACGAATTTACCCGTTTCTTGAATGCATCTACAAAATGTAACAACCTAGATCCATATCAGGGTGATCCAAGCTCGGAAAGGATTAGATTATCTGACTGAATGGGTTAATTAATCATATCAGTCCATTTCATCAATAAACCAAACAAAATAGGTAACACCAATGTGTTGACTACAATTAAATATTTACACCTTGAAACAAGTGATTTCCTCAAAACTTGATCTTGGTGTTAATCTCAGATTTACTGACTCTATTGATTAAAGGTTCTTGATGAACGTTTACGGCCGTATTCAAACACAGTTCATATGAGTCTCTTCCTATGAAGTCTGGCATTCCTATGCCTATGGTAAAAATGGTTAGTGACATCAAACAACCGATATTATTCTCTGCCTTGTCCATTCTTGAGATATCAGTATCTAAATATACGTAAGGACGCCTCATCCTATCCTGTTTTATCCTGTGTATCCTCAGTATGAGAGTAGCAACCAACCTTTGTTTTGGATGCGGTGGAGGAGCTATTAAGGTTTCAACGAGTAACGGTTGAAGTAGTAAACAACCTTTCCAACCTACATTATAAAAATAAATTGAAAAAACTTGACTCGATTCTTTTTCTGTTGTGAGTTGAAGTATGATCTGCAGTGGACCGCGGTAAAATAGGTTATTCAATGAGCAAAGGTACTAATAATATAAGAAAAGAAACAACTGTCTGTGAATAAGGTAAAACTGAAGCAAATAACATCTACAACAAAAAGTATATTAAATAGCAAAGATGATAACACCTTTTATGAAATGAATATTGCTATAAGCTCCTAGTGGGATAGTAACAACAAACAGAGTTCAGTTTATCAAAAAAGGTTCCTCTGTATTGTTGGTTGTAACGGAGTGAATCAAAATGTGAATCCACCAGTGTTATTGAATAATAATCCTGGTTCACATTCCCATGTGGCATGAAATGGCATAAAAAGTGTTCTAAAATTATTGCAATCTTCACTCACAGGCTGTGGTCAATAAAGTAAAGGAATAGATGACTGAGATTGTTTGTTTGAATAACAACACTAGTGTGTATTAATCAACCAATCAATTATGTATGTTTTTCATTGATATAGACGGACATTGGGTGCTGAATAAAAAAGTGATCACAGATAAAGTGCAACAAATAAAGAAAATTTGGTCTCTATTTTGTCTTTACAAAAATCACTAAATTCGTGTGATTATATATCTAATATATGCATAACGCAGGCTGACAAATGAATTTAGTGAAAACATATCCCGCCTATCCATTTCATCGACGAGTGATCACCTGAGAGGACATTACCAGAAGTTTCACCAGCCTAAATAAAATGTTGCGACCAAAGTTTTAATCCTCAAATTGAGTCTTGATTTAAGTGGTCGTTGCATCAGTATTCTCGTCAATAAGTTGAAGAAAATACTAGATATTTATGATACTACGAATAGCGAGGATTGATGTAGGTCACATGTCCTAAGCTCAAGCAACTGAGGATTGCTTTAAAGGACTAGTTACCTTACTTCGAATTTGAATTCAAGGTCGGTTGATGCGTGTCGTTGAGAGCACTTTTGAGTTCGAGAAGACCTTGAGAAAATGCTCTGAATCGGAAAAAATCTTGGTAGTTGACTTCTATGCTGACTGGTGTAGACCTTGTTGTCGTATCGCCCCGCAATTTGAGGCTCTCTCAATTGAGTTTCAACAGAGAAATTTTGTCTTTGTAAAAGTGAATACGGAACGTTGCTTAGAACTTTCCCGGAAAGAAGGGATTTCAGCTCTGCCAACTTTCAAACTGTATCATGATGAAAAGTGCATTGAAACAATCGTTGGTTAGACCACATTATTTGATAACCTGAGTTAAGGTAGCAATGTTGGTCGGTTACGACACATTTTGAATGAGTTCTCTCTGCATAACTCTATAATACAGCTGAAACTCAATAAAAATCATTTCGAAAGATTGCGTGCATATGGGTGTTTGCACAAGATTTGCGACAAAATTCTAAGTCATCCTCAAGAAGATAAGTTTCGCCACATTAGTTTGGATAGCTCTGATTTTATGGAAACACTCCTAGTTGTTCCTGGATGTATGGACTTCCTATTTTCTGCAGGCTTTCAGGTGTGTTTCAGTTTTTGTTTCGCTTGTCTGAATAGTATCACTTCCTTTTGGATCTATTAGTAAAAAGCTGCGTATTTGGTATTTGTTCTTTTCAAACCTCACATGACCACATGTATACAGCCACTGTCAGGAAAGTCCTACTCACCGCGTTCTCGAGGCATTATTGTTGTTTACAAGGTGGAGAGAAAGCAAAGAGAGAATATCTAGCGCTTTAACCGGAGGAGGAGTTGGAAAACCTTGATCTCAAACCAATGGTACATATGGGCTCCAGGATCCTAAGGAAAAAAGGCATATGAACCTAATGTTGGTCATCAATTACCATGGGACTGCATCTCCTTGCCTCGCTCCATTGCCTTGTGGATTAGACCTCTAAGTCGAAGGCTCCGGGTGTGGCCCCTTGAGAAAACCACCTGCTTCGGTTTGGGCACTTTGGCAGTATCTCAGCCCACACACAAATCAAGTGAATTGTGTGACGCATATCTATTTGGTGCCCTCCTATACCAATGTTTATGTGCTTAAATAAATAAGAAAGCCTGAGTAATATACATCAAACATATTGAAATTGTTTTCTATTAAACGGTAGTGTCTAGTATCACATCAAGTTCACATGGGTTATTCTAGCTTTCGGATAGACGAATTAATTTATTTTTTCCTTGGCCACATTTTAATTCTTTCAGTTTTTCGCTCATAACTTCGACCGTTTTTATATGAGCATGTGTTCATCTCTTACCCTATTCATCACATGTCTTTAGCTTATTTTTGTCTGGCTCCTATGGTGTCACGCTTTGTCATAGAAAGTTGGCACGTTTGGCTTCTCCGATCTGCTTCTCCTCTTAGTTTCTCTTATTATCTGTCTGGGGTCATAGGTATATAAAACATATCCAAAATCCCCCTTCGTATTTGACTTATTCCATTATTCTCTAACGCAAATTAAGTCGACAATTATATAATAGGGTTGGCGGCCCGTATATTTCATTAGCACCACCATACAATCAAGTAAGAGTCAAATCAACGGGGGACTAAAAATCACACAAGCTCATTTTATTCGGGTGGTAACGCTCTGCTTAGTGGCATTTTGTCGTGGTTGTTACATTTGGGAATATATCCGTCTAAGTAATTTTTCTTGGTGAGATAGCGGGAGCCATAAAGCCGTGTTTAATTATATGAAGTCTACATTTTATGTGGTCCAATGTTCTGTATTGTTTATCGATTATAAAATAAGCCAAACTGTTTCTTACCCAGATAATCATTTATTATAACTAGTTCCTGCAACCTAAGTTTGTTATCATGAGCTAGGATTTTGTGTAGCTGTAAGGTTGAACTTCTATACTGTAAGTTTTAAATATTAATCTAGAACCTCAAGACAATAAAACTAAGGAAAGTAAGATGTCTTTAAAGTTGGCGAAAGGTTATGAGTCTTGTGAGGAAAATAAATGAAGATCATAAGACGTCCTGAATATGAAGATAAAAAGGGAATTCATGTCGTTTATTCTGGCCAATTTCCAGTTGTATTACGTATGGTCTCTAGTTAACAGTTTATGCAACTCAGTTGACCACTTTTAAAGTGAACGTTTGCACATTTCTGTGCAGTATACAGCAGTACTTAATATTTATTGAAATGATGCCGTGTCGTGGCCTAGTTACGTTCAGGTTTTTCTTATCTAATTACTAAATCATTAATGTCGGACGTGATTGCATGAGTTACGGTTTTTTCAGTATCCTTTTATTGCTATTAGGAATTTTAAGCCATACGAGTGAACTTTCTCCGATATCATGTACAGTTGTTTCTGCCTTTTTTTATCATACAATGTTGATTAGATCTGATTCTAACGCGAAAATTTATATTGTCGTGTTTAGTATGTCGTAGATATTTAAATATTCTTTAGTGTCAATAGTGACTGAACTAAGTCATTTACACTCTTTAGGGACCTTAAGGTTATATATATATATATATATATATATATATATATATATAATGTTGATTCGGTTCGTTTATCTTCACATTTTTTCTTTTTTAAGGAGGCTGACAATGCTTTTGTCTTACCAGCTACTTTCGATGTCGGTCGTCTGAAGGAGCTATTTATTCAGTTAAGGTCTTGTTTGGTATGTTTTGATTATTTATTAAGATAAAACAGTATATGTTATGTTAGTTGGTTTATACAACTATTTGTTCATCAGTTATGAGTTATATTATAGTTATTTCGAGTTTTTACACTAAATGTGTGGCCACTGTTTAGTACTGTGATATAGTTATACATGTACTGCAACTAGCTCATATCCAGTTCAGTTTTGCACGATTGAGTTGGTTTTAATGCACGCATTTCCTACCCTAGTAAAATTCTTAGTTCTTCGTTTACCAGGAGCTTCAGATGATCAGCTGTTTGCTTGATGTGTAGACACTAGTAACTTCTGCTTTTGTATTTTCATGTAAGCCTTGAATGCATTACAATAAAGACAGGGTTATTATTAGGATAGTGAAGTCGTACGAAGTTTATTTTATTTATTTATTTAAACACATAAACATTGGCACAAGAAGGCAGCAAATATATTTGGGCCAAATAGACCATTTAATTTGGGTGATGGCTGGAATACTGCCTGGATGGCCAGACCGAAGCAGATGGTTTTCTTAGGGGGACTTTCCCCATGGATCAGAATGCATTAGAGGTCCATTCTTTTAATCTAAGTGGAATACCTGGAAGCAGTGAACGGCCGTTTTGTCCTAGTATGGGACTCCTCAACAGTGCACATCCACGATCACACATGCGGGACTCAAACCAAGGGCCTTTGGTCTGGGGCGAGAACGCCTAACATTCAGACCACTGACCCAACCGGCACTCAACGGTGTTAATGTCTAACTCCGATTGATCCATGATCTTGCGCGACCATTCATCAATTGTCTGAAGTGGATAACTGTCTCCACCTGACACGTATTGGACTCCACTGGTCACGGCTTCTCCCCAGAACTCTAGGAAATACATCTTGAAGCCGGTCACTAGTGAGTGCATGATGATCATTATCAGAATCGGGGTTTGTGGAGATTGTAGTAATTTTTAATAGTTGAATTCATGATTCGATCGATTAAAGTTAGATATTAACACCGTTGGATGCCGACCCAATGGTCTAGAAGTTGAGCGTTTTCGCGCGAGACCAAAGGCTCGTGGTCCGAGTCCCGCATGTGAAATCGTGCATCCTCACTGCTGAAAAGTCCCTTACTAGGACAAAATGGCTCTCTAACGCTTCCAAGTTTTCCATTGTGGTCTACCTCAGATCGACTCATGAATTCAACTATTAAAAATCACTACAATTTCTACAAATCTCCATTCTGATAATATGTGGAAAACGTCAATCTAAACTTTTCAAGTAATGAGACATTGTTTAGTCCAGTTTCTCGTAGGAAGATGTGACCCAATTTAATTACAAACTTATGATATACACACCGTTTTATTCAGTCAACAATCTAACAAACTTACTGGTGTTAACATAGCAGCTTGTAAACATCTGTTAGTGAGAATACAGTCGATTAGCGCTGCTTTGGATTTCTATAGTACTGTCATTATCATGACTGACCAACAGTGGTCCCATATTTAAACAGTTTACATAATTGTTCCTATTAGTTATATCAATTTTCATAGAAAAGCCATTTAACGACTGAAGTCTGTTTAAACATGAAGAAACTCTAATAAATACGAGCTTCTGAGATTCAACAAAAATGCGTTAATACAAAATTAGCTTGCTTATAAAATAGTGATATACTTCCAGCTTACCAGCAAGTATTTATAAGGCAGATCATTTTTATGTTTTAATTTTGACTTGTCATGATTACTATAAAGGGCATAATGCTACCTAGGAACCGAAGACTTATCAGATAGTTTTCTTAATGAACTAACTCCCAAATCTTTGGGACAACAATCTAATTGCTGAAGTAAATGACCAGGGTCAAGCGTTGGACAAAGTATGCTATACCACATAAATCGGTCCAAGATCTTGGAACCCACATGTGACATTTCTTTAGAAATAATGGTTTTATAACTCCTATAGACAATCTCTTCGTGTTTACTAACGTTCCTTAGGCTGGAAATACCCACTTTTATCATTCCTTCTATGGAAATGCTTGTCACATGAAGGTTAAAAGTTCTTTTGAAGGGGGTATGTACATTTGAACATGTGACAGTATCTCGAGAGAAAGGGTATATTCTCTTTACTACTGCTAGTATCAAATAGTTTAAGGGGATTTCGTGTTTTAATCGATATCGATCGGTACCAGTATTTGATAACATTTTGGTGAAAAATAATAAAACATCAGGTTTTGTGAACAAAAACCTATATTCTGTTTAATTAAATAATCAGTTAGTAGTTAAGGCATGTAATAGGTGTACAGTTTGTGTATGAATAAATTTAGACTGTGAACATACTTCATTAGTTATAACCACACGAGCTTTGAAGGTCACGTTTTTAATAATTTCTAGTTAGCTTTATATGAAATTTATCTGAATGTTTGTTTTATGTTAGTGTTTCCTTGAAATAAAAAAAATGAATTAGTAGAATGCACCACAAACGTCTATTACTGAATGAAATACAATATAGGATACTACTTATAGCATTCAGTACTAGAATGCTTTGTAAAAAATCGGAAGGATCTAAGCACTTAGTGATCACTTGATAAAATTAAGAATTCACTTTTGTCGTGTAGTTCGGTGGTTTAATGTTTAAAGTACCCGGTTGTCAACCAGTGGGTCACAGTTTTGAATCTTACCCGACCCAATTCTGTTTCGGCAGTCGGGTAGTAGTATCATTACTGCTTATTCAAACAGGGCGGGTGTAAGAAAGCCAAGCATATGGACATATATTAGTAACTAAGTTACACGACAATTAGGAATGATGTATTATTTATATTAACTAGCAATGAGTTTCATCAATTTACTTGACTGGTTTATTTCTGTTAAGATATTACTGTTGGCTGACAAAGTCTTCATAACATCTTAAATCATTATTTTTAAGAAATCATCAATATGTTTCGTTATAATTGCATTATTTACCCACTTACCACAGATTTGCAATTCTTTAATTTAATTTTAGCCGGTTAGTTCTGTGAAAGTAAATCAAGACAGTCTCGAACTGAGAAGCTCTGACTTAAGTTTTGTCAATCGATTGCTTGAGTATCGTTCTTTTGTTGTAAACTATATGGATTTCGAATTACAGGTAAGCAGTTCATAAAGTGTCTGTACATAATATACTTGTTTGGGTAATGCAGTAGGTAGATGTTCAAATTTTGAATTCATTTAATCAGTCGTTTGCAAAGAATTTCTCTTTTGCTTGTTTGTTCAGGTCAGTGGTATTAAACTGTAATTTTAAAATGGTCAGACCTATCAAGGAATTGAAACAAGAATCAGCAGCCTATCAGTTAGTCATAAACAACCTAGAACATGTCATTAGTGTAAATCAACCCATGTCAGTCTGTCACACAAACATAAGGAAATGAAATTAATTAAATGTATAGCGAATGTGTCATGGCAGTTGTAGAGTCACTAGCTCTATAAATTAAACATAAAGAATATGATTTAAATAGAAGGAATGGATTGGAATAATAAATTATGTTAAAGCTTATGATTTAAAGAATGCAAATGAGTGACTATATATACGCCGTTGCAACCGACCTTGAGCCATGACATCCAGCATCTCCAACCACTGATAGCAGTTATCATGCGAACCGCAACCAGGTATTCTGCATCTATCACGTGGCCCAAACAGTCTATGATTTTATGATTAAGCCTGCCCCAATCTTCTAACCTAATCTCATACCAGTGAGTATCGCCCATCCTGTCTGATGGTAGTTGATAGTACGGTGAAAATTCAAAGCTTATTAACAGATTCACCATCCTTACGTAGTTTCTTTACTTTTAACTTTTCAATCTTATTTCAAATGTTTAGGATAAGGAACAATGGGATTACAGAATGGTTAATTTCATTTAAATATCTATTCACTGTTACAATCTTCAACTGGTTTAGTCAGTATCAACCATCAGTCAGTAGAAGCACCTTTGTATTTGCTTAACTAATGTTTTCTTCTAGCGGTACTGTCATGGAATTCACAATATGCAAACACAAAGGCCATTGCGTTTTTTTCTTTTTTTCTATTTATTCACTAGACTCGGGCGCGTGAACTGATTCCCACTGAACATCTTCTTTTATCCGCCTCTCAAAATAATAGTTGTTCTGTAGATAATGTGGAACCCAGAGATTTTCTTCGAGAGTTATTAATTTGGTTTAAGAGTGAATTCTTTAAATGGGCTGATGACTTTGCATGTAAAACATGTGGTGTAAGTTTTCTGTTTGTAATTTTCGCCTAAACTTTTGTTAGCAAAATTTTCATCTTATATTGATAAATGGTCAATTGTTTTCGATTTGAATAAATAAAAACAGTCAATAGAAAAAAATAAATCTGACTAGTCAGTCTTACCCTATAATGATTTCAAGGGAAGTCAGGTTTGTTTCAAGACTGAAAATCATTGTTGAATGTTATATGTTAGATATTACAAACGATTTTGAGCCATTTCATTCAATCTCTAACCATCGGTTATGATAATCACGTGGACCTCAACCAGGTAGTCTGTACCTAGTCCATCAAGTTCACTTTTTTATTTCTTGATCGATCCTGACGATAAATGTTGATTGATCTTCAGTTAGATGTTAGCTGTTCAGGAATTAATATCTGAATAATATTCATTCTTTTCAATGCGAATTGCTAGCCACCACAATATGTCTGATAATTGTACTTTTTTGTAACTTTCACAGCGAAAGATTATAAACTTTTCATAAACGCGATTAATAGACATAATAATGTGTTGAATCAAACAAAATACAGGTAACTTGTTGAAATGTCTAGGTGGCTGGAACTAGTAGCCCAGATATTCAAACAGGCCACCTTGAGTTGTTCCTCACCAACTCCATTGTTCTTCCATTCATGTTATGAGTTCGGTTGTTTTCTGTTTTTCCTTCTCTTCATTTTCCTCTTCTGTTCGTAAAACTTCTACTTATGCTTCCTGATACACACTATTTATATCTGTCCGTACAAGTAGCATACACTGCACTTGTACCTTAAATTGTTTTACACTCTGTAAAATTTTCATTAATTCAATTTCAGAGCAAAATGGTCGCATGTTCAAACGATCAGCCTCGACTGGATGAAATGAATGATGGTGGTGCAAACGTAGTAGAGATTTATCAGTGTAAAACAAATAGAACCCATCCATCATATCGTTTTCCTCGTTATAACAATCCTAGAAAATTACTTGAAACTCGTCTAGGACGATGTGGTGAATGGGCAAATTGTTTTACATTGTTTCTTGTTTCTGCTGAACGTCACACTAATCAACCTTGGTTTGATGCATGTCGACTTGTTATGGATTGGACAGATCATGTTTGGTGTGAAGTGTATGTTTTAATCATTATTATCATTTAATTAGTAATTATAGCAAATTCTTAGGGGATTAAAACAGTTTAGAATATAGATTCGTATGTCTAAGTTTTTCTGAGAAAAATTACAGGGATTTCCAAAGTCATTTGTTTCTGTGCTATTTAATTATTTCGGTTATGTCATAGCGTATGAAATATTTTTTAGTTTATCCTTATTTAAAAGATAATATTCGTTAACAATAATTAAATGTGGATTAGTGACTAATTTTGAGTGGTAATTCTTGGAGTTCTAGTGGGAAGCCATTACTAGTGGAGCTTGAGTACGTCAGGTGTGAAACAATTACCCACCGATCATAATATTGAAATATAATTGGAGGATGTCACGATTTGATTGAAGTTCAACATGCAAATCATTGAATTCTGGCTCATTTGTCTAAATGTTGAACCCTTACCTTTAAGTTTTGGAAGTCCTGCCTTCAATCCTTAGTGGGGTTATGGATGCTCACTGCTGATGAGCCTCGTACTGGGAAGAAACAACTGTAAAGTGCTTACTGTGATTCATCCATCAAGTATCACAGTAGGTACTCAGCTTTGAGGGACATTATTTATGTTAGGGTTAGTGATACTACATCATTGCTCAGTTAAAGGACTGATGTTGCTATAGTGTTGATCAAAACTACAACTTACTGGTTACAAGTTAAGTCCTTCAGTCATTAATCTATTTCATTATGACTAAATCACTACTCCATTTAATGTTTTACTTACTAGATTCCTGGAATTGAAATGATAGAGTGACTGCATTAAAATACAACATTACTATAACGTCATTTATGTGAAATTTTCTCGTTTTCCTAAAAAATATTTACCTCTATATAGGTGGTTAAAGGATAAACATAGTGATAAAAAACTTTGGGTTCACTGTGATCCATGTGAAGTACAATTGGACAAACCTTTATTGTATGAATCTGGATGGAATAAAAAAATTAATTATATTATGGCTTACACTGTACCACCTCGATCATTATATCAGAAATTGGATAACACTACTAAATCAGTAGCTGTGGATATCCAAGATGTGACATGGCGTTATACACAGAAGTTTTCAGAAGTAAATTGTTCTATTATCATATATGTATTTTTTCCCTATCAGCTAAACTTATATCTTTTCAACAATCTCAATAGATATGTCGATCAGTATTTTGTATTTCAATTTACATTTAGAATGAACTGTAGGTTGGATGATCTGTACTAGCCCTTCCAATATAACTCTCTTAGTTGATCCAACTCTCTTTTGAACATATGTTGAACTACATGTTGATGTAAAGAGTTCTACTGGTTCATGATTAATTCGATGGGAAAGTCGATTGTCATGTGGGAAGTAATTGGTTTTCTCTGTGTGAAGATCTTTAAAGTGTATTTTTAAATTCCTTATTCTGGAAGACAAGAAAAACGAGGGTATATCAGGTGTAGTCCAAAGATTAAGGAGTCACCGCGTAAACTAAACGTTCTAAACTCGACTCTCTCTGCAATTGTGAGTTGAACTGATCCCTAAAGTGTTCTGCCCATCGATCCAATCTCCTGGATTGAGAATGAATAATATGCCCATCTTTATCTGAGATAGTTTCACTGATATTCGGGTTCCTAATACCGGTTTCTTTAACGGGTCTGAATAGCTGCCTACTGTTACCTATTGCCGCTGCCTTTTCCATCTCTCTTGCTTTCGCTACCCACCACTGTTCACGATCATCTCTTTGTGTTCTACCAAATTATAATCTTCTGAATTCCTCATGTCTTTATCTTTTTCTCTTTCCAAATTTATTTCACTATACTATACTCCTTCAATAATTTCTTCAAACCCTAATCTTTTGGATTTCTGATTATACTCCTACTACTTCTACCACTATGAGATTTGAATCGACAACTGCATCTCTGTGCTAATGTGGTATGGCAATTCGAACTGATGTACGTACGTACGTACGAGGTTCTACGTTGTGACTGACTGACTGACTCTGCAATTGTGAATGCATATTGCTGAGGATTCTTATGCTAGAATGAAACAATTGTTAGTGCTTCCTATTTTTCAATGGTTGTCTAACCAAAATTAATTCCTAAGCATTACAAACAGAGATGGTGTCTAGCAGTAGAATTTAATATGCGCGTTTCGTCATGTTTAGTATACAGTTCTGTTTTTTTCATATCACCATGCACCATGCTCATTTTGGTTTAAACAGCTGTTCGTTGTATTGTTATGAGTTAGGGTTAATGATGAATGATGATCAAGGTCTGTAATTGTTAAAATGAATGAATAGAGATGGCTGATCAGTACTGTGATATGACTGACTGATATTTACTCTGCAGACTGAGGATTAATGTACTCGAATTTCCTAGTAAACTGATATCAAAGAAGAATTGACTTCCCATTTATTAAAATAAGGTGCACAACAGAAAAGTAGCGTGAGTAGATGTCACGAACTATTGGAGGATATCAACTTTGTAGGTTACTTGCTTTCCAATGAATTAAGAACTGACTATTACGCTTAATTCTCACTCATCATGTTTATAATTTACATCTATCCAATAGAAATAATACTTGGTCACTGAGTTAAGTTATTACTCCTATTATTGGTAAGGTTTTCGGATATTTCTCACTTTGTTACTTACATGAATTACATCGAATTAGTAATAATGAAGGAGCGACTCAGTGGTTAAGGGGTTCTACTAAGTTTTGGGTTCGGACGCCGCTTTACTTACGTCGATTTCGGCAATCAGATAGAATAACTATCTATCACACTTTGAGTGTAATTCGAAGCCAAGTACACTAATCAATACCTGATAAATTAATTGTTAATAATTTTGTAAAGTTAAACCGATAGATTTCGCATCTTGTATCGATTAGTGACCTACAACTAATCTATTGAGGTGGATTTCTTCTAATGAACTCTTTTGTTTCTAATCTTATGGCTATAAGCGGTCGGTACTTTTAAATCTGACTCAGGTTGACCGAGCGAATCGTAATTGCGTATTAAGATCTCGAGAATATAACATTAAAACAATTCGTGTATAAACTGATACAATGAGCCAATCAGATATCATCCAAACGATAAGCGCACATTATTGATCATGATATGGCTTCTTTTCCTAATAAAGTTTACACTTGTCATTAGTTGGATACTTGACTTAAATTTCTAGGGGGTATGTATATAAGTGGGTGTAGAGATATCTCTCAATTAGGTTTGGCCAATGAAGCTCCTTTCTCGCTCTCGGTTTTCTCACTCGAATGGCTGGTTGGGTTCGCTTATAAGAAGCTTGTGTATCAGCATTGAACTGGGACACTGCATAACGTAGCATAAATATGGTAGTGGATGGTAACTGGTCTTTAATTTCTTTGCTATGAAATCTATCTTTCCGTTGTTTAATCTTAAGGAGTGTTGAGAAATGAAACCGTAATAATTAATTGTTTAGTCTAGATCTTTGGTTGATGTTATTTTATGATCTAGTCTATATATATACATTTTGTCAACATACACGTTCGGTATGAAACTGGACTGCATAATCCCCATACATCGTACATTTTTGCCCATTTCTTGGACAGGTTCAATCCCGTCGAAATATGATTAGGGAATCCGTATTGGCGTATAGATTAGCGGACATTCACACTGATGCTGTCAAAAACTGGTCACTTAACAACAATCCGGCCGATATTGACCAAAAACCATACTGTTGGGATTCAATTATTGATGAATTGGTGAGTTTCCTTCATCCTTCAAAGTGTAATGATCAACTTCCGGGTCGTCAAACTGGATCGTTGGAATGGCGTCAAGCTCGTGGTGAACTGGGTCAGACTTCTCTGTCTGTTGAACCACTTCTTAAAGGGTAGGTTTTATTCCCTATCTTACAATATTGTTTCAATATCACTATGATTGACGGTAAAAATAAACAGCTTTTTGTCTAGTTACTTTTGGTGTCCATTTGATGGTAGCGCAAGAGAGGAAAGCAATTGTATTGATCTAGTCCGAATATTGATTCATTCACCTAGACTGTCTATCTAGTATCAATTATTTTCGGCTAACCAATGACACGATGATAGTGAGATCATAGCCGATAGTAACATTAACTGACTATCGGTCCAGAATGCAGTTTCTCATCCTCGCTTGCCAAATAGTCAGAATAGAACACAACACGGTAAGCAGGTAACTTCTAATTATACAGTTCGAATTTATAAGTCACTCATACGATAATGTATCGTAAAATTCTTACAACACATCAACATTATTAGGGAATTAAAATATGGGCACAGCTATGCTATAAGTCTGGAAGAGGACTGAGTGATAGTTCCATAATGAATTAAAAATAACATGGGGAAGGTGTAGCACACAACAATAGCTTTTGTGTCAAACAAAAACTTACAAATAAGGGAATACAAGAATAACAGTAACTTCAGATTGGACCCTTCCGAAAGTTCAACTTTGCTTAATATTTATCTCAATATAGAAAGATTATTACTGTGGTCCAAGCAATAATGTGATGTCTGTGTATATCTTTGAAAATTAGGTACGCGGATATCTTTCAAGATCATGTATGTAAAAGGTTACTATTGGATAATTACAACAGTTCCTTTGACAGAATGAACATTTTTTCTGTTTCTTCATAGTGTTTCTGGAATGACTTGAGTATGCTTTAATTATCATTCATTTGTATTAGTTGCTTGAATCTTTCCATTGTTGTTTAGGGCTGAAACTGATCAGTCTCTTTTTGGTATATGGGCATCCTGCGGGGATCACTTTGATACTGCCACTAAGTCGTAAGTATTATCAGCAGAGATGGATAATGGCTAGTAGTGGAATACAGGACGCCCGTATAGTCCTATTTGGGTTTCGTCTGTTGGACGTGCCTGCATCCCTGAGTTGATGTTCACTCGTTCACTCAAAGATCCAAACAACCAATATATATGAATTAAACACCGCCCGATTACTCAAGCCAATGGCTATCTGGGCTCAGTAGCTAAGTCGATAATGTGGTGGTGTTTGAAGCACACGGTACTGGTTTCGATTCCTGAAGTGAAAGTCAACTCCAGGATGCAGGTCAGTCAGCCAGTCAGTTACTTAGCTACAACGTAGGACCAGGCACATATATGGATTGGTCCAAGTTGCTACACCTCATTAGCACAACAAGATGAACACCGAATTCATGAAAGTAGTTACTTCAACGGTAGTAATGTATAAAAAAAGGATAGTGTATAAGGGTATAGTACAGGAAGCAAGAATTATTTGATGGAAAGAAAGATATAAAGCAATTTAATCTCGCAGTTTAAGGGAAGACAGAGAGTGTATACACCTATACCATTGTGATCGATTCTGAGCCATGTCACCCAGTTTACTACCATTGGTTACGGTAGTCATGCGGACGCCGACCAAGTAGTCTGTATCTACCAGCCTGGCTCAGACAATAAGTTAGTGACTTTATGAACTGATGGCACGTTTTGGTTTGACCTCCCCCAACTTTGCTAAACTATCAAGTTTATTACCCAATAAGAGAATGTGAGAAGATATTTTCATACTTAAATTATTATAGCTGATTTAGGTATGTTATGGATTATGGTTTCACTGTTGCATTCAAGATTTATCAATTAAAGCTCTAAGCTTTAAGCTCGTGGGTTGCTTATTTGCATTCTGTCCCACATCGATTTATTCAGTTGAAACGATTCAATTATCTTGTAGACAAAGTATGGCTCAAGATCTTGTACACAAACCTGTACTCTGCTACTACCAAGTTATCTTAAGCAGAAGAAATGATACCTGTGATGAAATGATTCTTTATATATTATTGTATTGAGAAAGTTTCAATTCCTCACAAAACCACATGCTTATGTGGCGTTTTGTTAGCGTTCTTTTTGTACATCTGCGTTTCTGCTCCCATTTGTCGGCATTCCCCACATTAGGTGTCTTTCATTTTTACAACGACTGAAGATTTTATATTCTTATTAGTTTGTTACTCTTCTCATGAGCTGTTCTTTGTCATTCTGTCATGAACAATGTGAATTTATTTGTAAGATTGGTTTATTTTGTCTATCATAATTATGCAGCTTTTTAAAACTGTGACGTATTCGTCAGTTGTTTCATCTTAATATGGGACTATTGGTCAGTGGTCATTCACAGCTCCACTAAGGATCTAAACTATAACTTTTATGTCTTTCTCGACGAGTACTTAAACTTTAAACCACATATCTAACTTCAGTCAGTTCGCATTATTAAGCAATCGCCTTTGATTGCCATTAATGAAGCGCTATCTTACATATGACATGTTTGGACTCCATTGATCACATCTAAGTAGAACTCCAGGAATCATTGCTCGAAATCCATTCTCTCTTAATAAGTCTTTGTATCAAAGTTTAGTTTTCTGGATTAATTGTAGGCCAGGTTTGTTGTATTCATTGTATTCAGATCAAAGTGAGTATTTGTTTCATCATATAGTCACACTTTATCATTTTCTTCATTTATTTTATAGATGATGGCAGTTTCGTTCAAATTACTACCACTACTACTATTGTTGCCATCATTACTCACATGTTGTACACTACTTGTTAATGTTATTTTCTTTCAGTGTATCTTGTTATTTCGCTTAATTATATTGTGTATGTATCTTTCATTTCATTTTCTTTCTTAAAAAAAATAGATCAAAGTGTATTATTACCCCGTCTAATGCGGAACTTCAAAGTGGGATATTTCACTTACGTTATAATTCAGCTTTAAATATTTACCAACGTCCTTATTATTCTAATAGTAATAGTATTAATGCAAAAACGGATACTGATGTATTAGATTATCAATGTTCTACAAATTCACCAAAAGCGATTAATAAAGAGTCAACCAAATTGATTGAAAATGCTCGGAAAACCGGTTTATATGGATGGCAGTCTATGGTCTATCAGTGGAGAAATATTTTTCGAAAGGTTGGTTAATTCCTATATATCTGTTTAGTTTCCTCATTCAATATAACTTTTTGGTAGGGAAGTGGATGTTAAGATGATGTTGTAGTGAACAAAATACGACTGGGGACAATCGAATGTATTTAAGCAAACATTACAGACTATCTCGGTAAATTCTGATAACCAAACAATGAACAGTCAATTTGCAAATTAACAACCAATTGTTTCAATCTTCACTGTTTCTTCTCTAATTCCATTGCTCATGCATTTTCCATACGATTGCGCTTCATTTCCATTCTTTCCTCATCGGTCTTCTGCCAAAATACATTCTATGTCTGACCCACACCATATACTACTTATATGGATATAAGTAGACCACACCACAATGTTAGTATTCTATTTAGATATTGGTTGATCGACTGGTGCTTGTTTACAAAACTAAATTATCAGAATGGGAATTTGTGGATATGGTAGTAATTTTAATAATTGAATTCATGGGTCGATCTAAGCTAGACCACCATTGGAAACCTGGAAGCAATGGAGGGTCTTTTCGTTCTAGTATGGGACTCCTCAGCAGTGTGCATCCACGATCCCGCTTCCAGGTTTTCATTGGTGATCTAGCTTAGATCGACTCAACTATTCAACCATTAAATTCACTACAATCTCCACAAACCCCCATCCTGATCATAATCATGTGCTCACTAGTGATTGCCTTCGAGATGTATTTGCTGGTGTTCTAATGAGAAGCCGTGACCAGTGGAGTCCAATCCATGTTGAGTGGAGTCACTTCAGACAATGAATGAAGGGTTACGCAAGATCATGGATTGGTTAAAGTTTGGTCCTAGAGATGGTGCAACACAGTGACTTGAGACGTTGTCAGATATGGCTCAGAATAGAATCCAGTGGCGATCCTGGTGTAACCATATTTTATTTTTTTCGTAAAAAATGAACGTAACTTCTTTAATTGGAAGAATTCTTTCTGGTTATACTTTTGCTAACTGAACTGCCTCTTTCATTATTATTGTCATATCATTCTCATACACTAATTTCTGTTCGTTTTTGTTCTCCTTTTTCTTATACGCACTTTACATTCTCTATCTCCTCACAACCTCATTGTTATTGTGTAACGTATATGTATTTGGTACCCCCTTTATGTGTTCAGATAAATAAATAAATAGAACATTCTTGTGAAATGATTGGAAAACTCACTTCTATATAAAGATGTGATTGTCCTAAACAGCAATGAAATTATCTAATTCAGAGAGTACAAGACTAACAAAATGGTTCCAGTGCTTATAAAGAGTGTTGGAGTATTGACTAATTGTTTGCATAAGTTTATTTATTTGTTTTTTTTGTATAATTACAGGTGGAACTTGATTGGCACATGGTTTATTTAGCGCGTGAAGAGGACAGTAAACCTTCAGAAGATGGAATAATTATCTGGATGCTTGATTTAAGAAATACTAATTATCGTGTCGGTAAAGTAAGTAATAATAACTGTATGTAGGTTTTAAACACTTGATAAATGCTTTTATAAGTGCGTCTATGTGTATGGGCGCCTATCTATTCATCACTTTCATGGTCTAGTTGTTTCTTTTCGGAGCAGCATACAATTTCCAAAGAAAACTATGGGTTAGCAAAGTTTTCAATATTCTCTACATTTATTTTAAATGTAGTCTCTAATACAAAATATAACATTAAAGCTCTTTGTCCATGTCTATGGGTAAATAAATAGACATAGGTTAGCACCTAACTAGGGGGCTAATTTGGTGATCAGCTCGAGACAAAACTGGGAGGTCATGATTCCTGTCTTTAATGAAATTATGCATACTGCTGAAGAGATCTCTACTAGAACAACTGTTTGTTCAGTGCTCTCTGGTTTTTATCAGTATCCTAACTCTCAATCGATGGTGAAAAACATCTAAACTTTATTTTGGTCTACATGTTTTAATGTGTCGTGTGAAATTTAGGATGCTCTGTTTGGTGAGCTCTGTATGAATGACGCATTATTAGTTTGGGTATCTTCAATAATACTTATATTGGATTTAACGATGCTATTCTTTGGTTTAAGGCTACGTTTTGAATGTATATCGTGTACTGTTGAGTGTAAAGCGATGAATTAGTGGTTATGGTGTTCGACTTTAACCCAATAAGCCGTCCCCAAATGCCCTGGTAATGCTGATGACGGGGAGAGTCAGCTCTCCCTCTCGAAGTTCTTTCACATGACCACACGTATACAGCCACTACCAGGAAAGTCCTACTCACTGCATTCTCGAGGCATTATTGTTGTCCACGAAATTGAGAGAGGACAAAAATGAATGTCAGGCGCTTCAACCGGGTTGGTAGATATGGAGGATCCACCTAGGGGAGTTGGAAAACCTCGATCTCAAACCAATGGTACACATGAGCTCCAGGATCCTAAGGAAAGAAAAGGCGTGTGAACCAAATGTTGGTCACCGACTATCATGGGACTACATCTCCTTACTTTGCTCCACTGCCTTGTGGATTAGACTTTTAGGTCGAAGGCTCCGGATGCGGTCCCCTAAGAAAACCACCTGCTTCAGTTTGGACACCCTGGGCAGTATCTCAGTCCACACACAAATCAAGTGAGTTGTGTGGCGCATATCTATTCAGTCCTCCTTTGTATCAATGTTTATGTGTTCAAATGAATAAATAAATACATAAATAAAACCCTTCCCTCACCTACTGTGGTTTGAGCGCTCAAATGACAACACGTAACTCTCACTCATATTTACAGTGTCTCAAAGGTAAGTACCCAAATCTGTTTCAGCTAATCAATTCGAGTACTGTCAAGTTTAATTTTAAATTATTTTGTTGTCAATAAATCGTCATTTTGTTAGTCAGACTGTTTATCCTATGAGTTGGACTTGTTAAAATTAATGTTTAATTAGCAAATTATTTAATTGATAATTAATTCCTCTCAAAATTGCAGTGAGCTTCATTGAATTGTTTCGAATCACTCTTATGCTCCTTGCTGATTATTTGACGTATAATTGGAGTGCAGAACTTCTGAGAAACATCCGCATTCCACAAACATTTAACCAGAATAATCTAAAAATCGAATATTTAAAATGATGAATTTATTATCGTTAAGTCTTAATCCGGTGACCTGAACAAAGCATTATTAGTTGCTGTTTGTCAGGAGCACCTCGAAAGTTTTATAAATACTTACATCGTCCTGTGCTGTGAATTTTCTTTGTCTACTGAGTTGTTGGCTGACTGAATTAGAAAAAAGCTGTCGGAGGAATGGCTTTGAGCTATACTGTTTTTAGTGTAATAACTAGTATTACTACTACTACTACTTGTAACTTAATGGCAATATTTTTTTGTATTTTTGCTGTTCCTCTTTTTCATCAGGTTTCTATATTTACCAATATGGTATGTCATTCAACTGAATGTCATGCTCGTTTGGTACTTTGTTCCGGTGAATATCCGGCAAATAATAGTTGTAGTGGCCCAGATGAAAATAAAAACCCACCATCTGTGCCTAACTCATGTTTATGTCTTCAACCAGGTTCTGCTTCATTATTCAATTCAGAAGCTATTAGTGGAGCTGATTTTTTGACTTTAAAAGCTCGTCTATGGAATGATGATGAATCTACTGGGAAGCCATCTTCCGTGGCTTGGCAGCAAGCCCAACTATTTCGGCAAAAGGTACATTTATTAAGTGTATCAATATTTTTATTTCGTAAATGAATGCTTGTAAATATAAGTAGGCTTTTGTCTTTTCTGATTTTGATGATGCTTCTTAGATCGCATCACAAATTGACATTAGATAACCATTTAAATCAGGAAGCACTGGATAGCTGTTTCATCCTAGCATGAGCAGTAAACATCCGTGACCCAGCTGGGGATGAAACTCAGTTTAGATTCTCATCACGAGATCTGAAGGTCCTGGTTCTGATTCTTTCTGTTTTTGTGGATGCCGATTCCTGAGGAGTCTCTTGCTAGGACGAGATAGTTGTCCACTACTTCCTGGAAAACACTACTGATGTTATCACTTGTTATCTTAAATTTTGTTTTGATATTTGTTGTCCCACTGAAACTACTTTTTCTAAGCATTGATCTACTTATATCTCCACAGCTAAAATGATTACAGAGGGTAAAAGAAGGAATGTACAAAGAGAAAAACTATTGAAGTTCGTAAGCTAAATGGTTTATTAAACCTAGAGATTAGACGTATCAACTCTAAGTTTACTCAAAAACTCTAATCCTGTAATAACTCTCCAAGTATGTGGAAATTTTTTAGAGAACTTACAGGTGACAGGCAGATTAGAAGCGATAACCAGCTGAATGTTTGTGACTTAAATATGTCTTTTATACGTCAGTTATCTGACGTCATGCTCCCTATATCCACAGGTTTGAAGAATAATTGTATTCTTAGTTTCACTGAAAATTACAACCGAAAATGTATCCAGTCACTTAATTCATCCCAATGTTTTGGACCTGATAGTATCCCAAACATCCTTTTAAAAAAACCCATAGCAATACCTTCACCTTTCCTCAAAACAATGGAAAAATTATTGATATTCCCACTTCAACCTGCGATAAAAGAGCACATTGATCCGTATAAGTTTGCTTACAAATGCAAAAGAAGCACTTTAGACGCCGTTGGTGTTCTGCATCACAATTTAGTGTTCGGCTTGAAAAAGCTTAAGAAGTATGTTCGATGCTCTTTTCTGGACTATACTTCTGCTTTTGATTCTATCCCAAGACAGCTTTTACTTAACAAGTAAATCAGCGTCAACATTGACAGCTGGATGACCAGTTGGCTATGTTCCTACTTCACTGGAAGGGAAAAGTACACTGTTTGGAGGAAAGTGTTCAACGTCTCTACTGACTCATAAAGTTGTGCCACAAGGAGCTGTTCATTCATCTCTTCTTTCCTCATTTTTCTGAATGATCTGCCATCTTCCATAAAAGACACTTTTTTAAAATATGTGGACGATCTCACTGCATGTATTCCAATTCCTACCTCTTTACATCCCTTAAAAATGAATGGGTTTTTGTCTCTTATTGAATGATGGTTTGTTCTAAATGGTCTCACACTTAATTTTTCTAAATAGTAAATGGCTACATTTAGCCTTATACATAAACAGCACTTAAACACCTTGTTGAAACTTCGTAAAGCTTACACTACTGAGCATTTGTTAATAAAAGTCATTTATCTTGGTTTATGTGTTCCCTCTCTTGGTCTTCTCATGTTTTACTGTTATCGAAGAAAGTTTTCCGTCTGACCTACTACATAAAGAGGCTACATGCTTTTGTGATCACTCGACATTTATTCTCACAATTTGTCAATTCGTGCATATTACCTATTATTCTTTACTGTTCTCCATTATTCTTTCTCGGGCTTCCGACAAAAGACTTTGCTGTATTGCGTAGAGTGCTGAAGGCAGTTAACAGAGTGTGTGGTAAATCTCTTGAGGTTATTATTAATATGGTTGTGGATAGACATCTAAAGTCTTACAAACTCCTGCTGGGTGTTATTTTATCAGATACTAACCATCTCCTTCATTCATATCTTTCTCGTTGTATATCTTCTAGTAGAACGAGACGTTAATACATAAAAATCCATGCACGCAAGCAAAAGTATGAAAGTTCTGTAATACCTTATCTAGCAAATATACTCTGTGACGAACAGGTTGTTAGAGTTGACCTAATCAATAAACTGTATTCTTAAACATGTTTCTAATTGAAAAGTTGTACAAATTCGGATATTTTTTCACCGATTTCTTTTCCTTTTTATTGTTAACGAGACTTGTTGAAATGCCTCGTATTGAGAATTTCATATTGTACCGAAATATAATAATTGAATAAAGTTATTAATAATAAAGATCAGTTGTAGCTATAGACCTTAGTCTATATTTGAAATTGAAGAAATCGCTTTATTGGAAGGGAATAGTTCTCATGATAATGTATTATATTATTTGATTTGAGGAAGGTGAAGAAGACCACGAGTTCTCTTTACCAACATTTTACGTAATAGTGGATGTAACTAGGTTGTGCATGTGGCATTTTATAATGAGTGGTGACAGTTCTGTCTAAATTTTTAAATAATTTCTATCCTTTCAGTTACTGTAGAGTTTAAGGTAAGTTTAAATGTCAGGTTTATGGAAATTTATGTCGGAAGTTGCTGCAAAGTCACTTTTCATTTATAATATAGTGAATGTTTTAAATTTCAACCAGTTCTTGAGACGCTGTGTAATCCACCTCCCTCCTCTGATTACTTTATCTTTCGGACGTGCTCTCGTTTTGATCTTATCTCCTCGAGTGTACTGACTATCTCAAGACAAAACACAATAACATATCTCTGGACTGAGTGGATAAATTTCAATTTCTGGTTAAATTCTCAATGTATCCAACTCAAAAATTCTTAACACAAAAAGTCAAAGAAAATTAACTATGAGATTTTGATGTATCAATATACTGTACAATATGTAACCGGTAAACGTTGGTTTCCGACGAAAACTAAATTAGCAAACTTGAGTTCTCCTTCGGTTTTAGCAACTAATTAGTGAGTATTACTACTCCTTACATATCGTATGTGGCTCAAAGCAGAGTATTTGGTTAATGAATTACTTCATTGTCATTGATTTCATCATCTAAATCCGTATAGTAAGTTTTCATGGTTGAAATCATGAATCAATTGAAGCTAGACCACCATGGAAAACCTAGAAGCACTGGACGGCCGTTCCATCCTATCATGGGACTCCTCAGCAGTGCGCATCCACGATCCCGCCTCACGAGATTCGGACCCAGGACCTACCAGTTTCGCGCCAGAGCACTTAACCGACTGACTTCAAGATATATGTCCTGGAGTTCTAATGAGAAGCAGTGACCAGTGGAGTTCAACCACGTCTGTTGTGAGATAACAACTTACTAAAGACAATTGGTGAACGGTTACTCAAACTTCGAGGATTGGTGGAAGTTAGACATTAACACCGTTGGATGCTGTCTCAGTGGTCTATCGGTTAAGTGCTCTGTCGCGGGACTTGTAGGTCCTGGGCTCGAATCTCGTCAGTGCAGGATCGTGGATGTGCACTGCTGAGGAGTCCCATAATAGGACGAAACGGTCGTCCAGTGCTTTTAGGTTTTTCATGGTGGTCTAGCTTCAATTGACTCATGATTTCAACTATGAAAAATACTGAAATCTCCACAAAAACCGTTCTGCGTATAGTAAATATTAAAGGATTAGACGTAATTTTTTTTTAAAAAAATTTGTTTTTCATTTTGTAATTAATCCTATTAACTATATAAAACTTTTTTATCCTCTTTTTTTTCAACATTGACATTTCACTCCCTTTTATCATTAGGATAGTGATTTTGATACTTGGTCATTGGAATGGAAAGTTGAATTGGTGAAAATTAATGAAACAGTTAATTAAATAAAACTGGTAACGTGAACTGTATTATCGTTTCACACACACACACACAGTGACCTAGTTAACTATGCTGTTTTTTTAATGAAGTTTTATATTCAAACAAATGTGTCACTTGTTTTTCGGTAAGTGTAACAGTACGCATATATATATATATATGCATATTACTGTCAAGTTAATTTGTACGTTCCCTTCTTTCTCTCTTGTTTATTTATCTTTTCATCTTGTCTAATCATTCATTTTTTTTATCCCGAATTTTGTTATAATATCAATCATATCATCTTTTTTTTTAATACTTAAACTGGGAATATTTTCAAGAATTTCTACTTTCTTATTGGTTAGGAACTACTTCCTTCTTCTCTTTGTTTTCTTGTTCTTTTTGTTCAATTATTCCTTGACATGATCAAGGAGACTGGTTAAAATGTTGTATGGAATCATTATTCTCGTTTACTATGGATTATGATTTTTCTAAAAATGTATGACTGTGATATATTTATTGAAATAATTATGAAGGAATGAAAACGCAAAGTGGGTTTTGTGTTTCTTCTTTATAGATTGTAGGATTGAATTAAATATTTATTTGTTTAATAAAACAAATTTCTAGTTAATAAGTTTTTCTTTAAGAGATTAGATCAGTCAGTTAGTCAGTCACAACGTAGAACTTCTTACGTACGTACATCAGTTCGACTTGCCATACTATATTAGCACAGAGATGAAGTTGTCGATTTGTTATGACTCGTAAGTTGAACGCTTTATTCGGATCCTAGCTATTCGGATAACCCCAGGCTAGCACTACTCAGCGACCTGGAAGACCAGAGAGAAGACACGAGTATCAGAGAAGCACTTTACTACAAGGTTCAATTATGTACAGAAAAAACAGGGGTTTTATAGTAGCTAAAAGACCTTGAGATCCCATAGTAACAGTATGTTAACAGCCAATCAGGACCTTGTTATTTTAGTAGCATAGCTTCTAACTAATCGCTGATTGGTTGGTCTCTTTATGAGCCTCTCTGGAGGCTCTGATAGAGTTTATTGTAAGCCGATCTAACACGATTCAAATCCCATAATGGTAGAAGTAGTAAGAGTATAAGCAGTAATCCGAAAAATTAGGGTGTATAATCCAGTGATTTAAATTTGGAATAAGAAAAAGATAGAGATATGAAGAATTGAGAAGATTAGAATTTGGGAGAACACAAAGAGTGGATGCACCTTGGCCATTGCAAACGATTTTAAACCATGTCATTCAAGGTCTGTAACCATCGATTGCTATCATCTCGCGGATCCCAACCAGGTAGTCTACACTTACTAACATGGCTCAGTCCACTTGTCAGTGACTTCATGGATTAGTGCAACGTTTTGGTCTGGTAGCCCCTAGCTTTCTTTCAACCTACTCCTACACAATAAAACATCGCACGTCGGGGCAGTCGGTGGTTGGGCATACGTAACACGTATCCCAGCCATCTCAACTGATGTAGTTTCTCAGGGTCTGGCCCCCTAAGAAAACCACATGCTTCGGTTTGGGCACCTGGGCATTATCACAGCCCTCACACAAATGAAATGAGATTTGTGTGGCGCATATATATCTGGTGCCTCTTTTTACCAATATTTATGTGTTTAAAAGAAAAATGTTTAAAGGTCGATTGATTTTGCTTTTAAATCATCGCCCCGGGAGATTGTTATCATCGTGAAAACAGGAAAACCACTAAACTTTAGGATGACTTAAGTAAAAAAAAGTAAAGGCTGATGTTCGGTGAAGTTTGTTTCACCCTCCAGAGAATACGACCACTATTTTGACCAAAATCTACTAACATAGCAATTACATGTTAGTGTTAATTTTAAAAGTTTTCTCATAAAAAAATTATGAGATGGTCTGAGTTATGAAAATGGTACATGTAGACCAGTGTAGTTTTTCATTTGATTTTTTAGCCTCGGAAAAAAACGTTTGTCTTGTCTACTAAGCAGAGATTTATGTTCTTGGGTTTGAGTAACAGTGTTTTTAAGTGTTACTGATACTAAACGTTTTCTCAGTTTTGATGTATGCATAGTAAGGTTTTACAACCTGAAACCAAGTGGTTGAAAGTTTGTTGTTGTAATCATTCGGCCACTGCTCTCCATATACATTTATCTTGTTAGTCTGTACGTGAATAATGTATTCGCGTTTGTGGTTAAGGCATATGTCACGTTTTTAAACAGATTGTTGATAGGTAAAAGTATGTTGGAAGCGATTCAGGAGCGCTCAAAGCAAAATAGCATTAGTTCATGAAGTTATTAAGAACTGGTCCGGAACGTTTTGATAAGTTCATGCTACCTTGTTTGGGTCCACACGACTATTGAGTTCGGTGACATTGCTGCTAACGAGAATACAGACGACAGGAATCAATATATTTGAATACAAAGTTACATAGTTCTTTTATAAAATGTGTAAACCATAAGTTCAATATTACATTTATAAATCCTTCATCAATTATCTAAAACTCCATTATTCCTTCATTGACATAACAATTACTCTCTTTTCCCGTTCTCTTCAATTCGTTCTTTCTAACCATCTGCTACAAGTCATTCCTCTTGGTGTTATATACTACTTATGTCGAGATAAGTAGCATACACCACAATCTGACGCAGAATTGGTCATGATGGAGCAAGTGCGTAATCCTAGATCTTAAGATCTACTGTTCCTTCATATATATCTCTTCATTCTATCTTTTCAAACCATATTCCCAGTGTTCAGTTTTTTTTTAATTATCATAGCTGCTACATTATTTCTATTCTTTTTCTATTCAATCTGTTAATTTCATCGCATCAAGCAATACAGTATGGTAAGTAATTAGATTACAAATCTGACATTATAAAAGTGTTATTTAAAGCTTTTGAGAAGTTTTTGACAAGTTCTATCGATAATCAAGATACAGCTTCTTGTTTATTTCACATATTTTAATAGTTGAAATCATGAGTCAATTGAAACTAGATCACCATGAAAAACCTGGAAGCAATGGACGGCCGTTTCGTCCTATTATGGGACTCCTCAACAGTGCACATTCACGATGCCGCATTGCGAGATTTGAACCCAGGACCTATCAGTTTCCCACTGAAGCACTTAACCACTAGACCGTTGAGCAGGCATCCAACGGTGTTAATGTCTAACTTCAACCGATCCACGAAATTGAGCGATTTGTTTAAAGAAATATTTTATTTTTAAGGGGCTAACTCGAATAGTAAGTGAGATGCTAACATTATATATGTATTGAGACCACCGTGAAAAACCTGGAAGCAATGAACGGCTGTTTCGTCATAGTATAGAACTCCTCACCAGTGCTCGTCTACGATCCCGCCTCTTGAGATTATATTCACCTCTTATAAGTAGTTTTAGTTATATTCTTAAAACAAAAACGTTAATTTATCATTGATCAATTGCTTTAGTTGAAACAAACTACTATTCTCAGTTATTTGAGTAATAAATTCAAGTGATTAGTTATATAGTTGATAAACAATTATATTAATTATAGATTACATCTATAACAAACTATTTGTAATTATTCAACCTTAACAATAATTTTACACTTAATTGAATAATAAATTGACAGAAATTTGATAAATATAAACACCCTAGAAATGGACATTATTGCTGAAGATACTGATAGGAATAATCAATATAGAACTTGATTCATTTGAAGTAAAATATTCATAGGAATTTATTTACCCAGAAGTCTAATCAAATATCTATTGTAAGTATAGTTTTGTGGAGATTATTAGGTCTCATTGAAATCATGAACCGATTCATGTTATAGTACCATTGAAAAGCAGGGTATTAGGGAATGATGGTAAATCAGTTGATAAGGTGAGGAATCTTCATCGACTAAGATGGTTGGGCCACGTGTTACGTATGCCTGAACACCGATTACCACGACGCGCAATGCTGACTTGTGTAGGGGATGGTTGGAAGAGAGTTAGGGGCGGCCAAACCAAAATATGGCATCAGTGCTTGAAGTCACTAACTTCTAGTCTCAGCCATGTTGGTAGATGCAGACTACCTGGTTGGGGTTCGCGTGACTATCGTAACCAATGGTTGGAGACTCTGTGTGACATGTCTCAGAATCTATCACAATGGTGTAGGTGTATACACTCTTTATCTTCCCTTAAACCTTAAAATTAAAATTGCTTCATATCTGTCTTCCTTCCTATACTATATCCTTATATACAACCTTCCTTTATATACTACCACCACTAAATTAATTACTTCTATGAATCTGGTGTTCATCTTGTTGTGCTAACGAGGTATGGCAACTTGGACCGATGCATATATGTGCCTGGTCCTACGTTGTAGCTGACTGACTGACCATTGAAAAGCTGGAAGTACTAGGTGTTTGTTTCATCCTAGTGTAGGGATCCTCAATGGTGCATATCCACTTGGGAATTGAACTTTGTGTAATGGCCCTATATCTGACTCCGATTGGATTGTATGCTGATTGTCATCGAAATACGTATATCGACTATCCACGTATATTTTATCACGTTGGTGAATAACGGAATTAAAATAAGTCGAATACGAGAATGAATTTTTGAATACATATATTTTGTACACTCATTGGTCTGGATAAACAATCAGAGAGATGAAGCGAAGGAAATAAAGCAAGGCTAGATGGCGCGCAGTGGAGAAGCGTGTGATCCAACTCCATTTAATCAAGCGTAACTCAGTATTTATAGTCACACAAAAATAAGCTACAGACGTGATCAGTAGAATAAGAAGTGTACACACATATGCGCACATATAAGAACTGTTAGGGTTGATAAGTGAATAATTAATAGGGTCAAAATGTGACTCAAGAAAAGTAGATAAATTGGCCTGTCCGGAAGATAGAATAAGTTATATTGGCTTAACATAGTAACCGACACTACACCAGGACCTTCGGTGTCTTATGCAAACGGCCAACCTGTAGTCCACTGATTCGGCATCCAATGCTGTTAATTTTTAAATTCAATCAATCCTTGAAGTCATAAACTAACCAATG